GTGCATATCTCAGGGAATGGCGTAGGGAGATAGGAATATTAGTTGTTTATATTAAGAAGACAATATGGTTAAAAACGGGTAGACTGAGGTGGGGATTGGGGTTACGAATGTTCATACCATGACCAAGTAGTCTTGGTTGTCAAATCAGTGTAAGTCCAGGTTACGCGGTAATTGGGAGCAATTTGAACCCACGGCCACGTGAGGATGAGGGACCTCACGAGCATTTTTTGGGTAAATTTCGAGGGTTGTTTAATCTTTCTCGACTGTTCCTGAGTTGTATACAGTGTGGTAATTTACACGTATATCAAGCCCTGAAATCGCTTGTTGGCTAAATTATTGTTCCTAAAATGAACGTTTCGGGGTTAATTTGTTTAGTTGAACAATAACCTTTTAAACGAGAGTATATGTTACGTCATCAACACGATGCTTTCGGTTGGTGGTAAAAAAAGCTTGAAGAAATATTACTCGTGGTGACCTAAAAGTTGGCTAATACTGATTTTCCACCGACAACGTTGTTGTTGACACTACATATATTCTCTTCCACTATACCGAACGGAGCATCTATTTTTGGACGCTTTTTGAATCTCTTTCAGTTAAGACTCAGCGAATAAACACTCGCGTTGGCCTTCTGAGCTTCATACTCATTTATCGTTGTAACTGAAATGACAAAATTTCAACTGGCAACTGGCCACCACTGAACTAACAATTTCAATACCAATTTACACTGTATAAATAAGACCCTATCTCTGTTGTTCGAGTCTTGTTATTGTGACCATTAGCTACCAGCTGACAACTCCTGATGTATTGATGGAAGACTTGTAGATTACGTCCTCGTTTAATGAATTTTCACTTCGGCAGAATGCGTGGATGGCTTTTCGGGTCCTAGATCAGAGCAGTCCAGTGAGCTCTCCTTATCGCGAGTGGACACCGCATTTTCGATTGTCAGATTGGCTGAAGAAATAGCGATTATCCAACTGATCATAGACAACTGTTTATTTCCTATCGGAAGACATTCCTCGAATTTATGCTTGCATTTGAATAAATACAGCATCTGTGAGCGATGACATTACTGCCCATTTCCACCATAGATATTCAGCTCACTTTGAGCTAGTCCCAATTTGGTAGGAAAGAATAATCGCATGCTGTGTTTGCCTTGCTTCATTTCATTGCCTTCATTTTATGTGACATTATTGTGTGCTTTCTCTCCTCATCGTTCGCATTTGTGTTCGACTAATGAAATATTCATCCAGTTCACTAATTTTATTTGGCTGTATTTCTAGATCTCGCGGACTCTTCGGAATTTTCTCCTTCTTCCTGTGTGTTCTTCTCACGAGCGAGTAGAAGCATATACCCTGGAATATCAGTGACCTTATGTTAGGCTCCTTATTCCGAAATATTGCTGACGCGGTATCGAGCGAGTTTGCGGTAACCTTCTCACTTGTGGTTGTCCGGCTTTTACCACACTTAATCTAATCGAGCCTCATATGGTTCTCCATCCCAAGTTTCAAGGTCTGGTTGCCAGTTATGACTCATGGTACCGTGGACCTTAGAGTGTGCGGGGTATAGCTCTTCGGTTGCAATAATATTCGGTCATGTTTTACTACAAAACGGTGTCATTGTGTCATCATTTCCACTGTAACAGCTTCATGTACCTTGATGGCCACATGTCGCTGAAAGAACACCAGCCACAGCAGGTTATTAATGTAGTGCCTCGTTGCTTCTCCCTCTGTCTGTTTGTCCTATTATGAGGCTCGAGAATTCTGGAATATAAAGCAGTTCAAAGTCAGAGTTTACAAGCATCGCACTTCCAGTGTCGCGAAACACTCTTATAACTGCCGTTAAATTCCATTTCTGCACGTCATTGTATTTCTACTACACGAGTTCATTATTGCAGAGTGTGTAATCCTCCAGTGAAAGCATTACAAACTGTAACCTCTATGGCTTGCCTTGAATTTACGAGTCGTCGACTAACAACGGTTCAAGGTGGTCGGCAAATATGTCAAGCTGTAACGGCTTCCTGATGAAATGCGCATATTGAGATATGGGTTAGTAAATATGTACCACGCGAATGGCTTGTGAGTTATCTGGGCCGACCGCCACTCTTCATTAAAAAAATGGAATGAAATTCCGGGTTTTTGCCTCGAAACAAGGATAATAACGCAACAAAACTGATTACTTAGAAAAACATTGATACAAAAGATCAAATTACTACTTGGTTATTGTTCAACAGACTGTCACAGGGTGATAGTCATTTTGACTAGATCAGAATATTTAGTTGGAGGTAGTTGATTCAACGCCCATCACCATCGAGCGACTTTGGTAGAGGGCTGTCGTTATAAGTATCGTGATTGCTGGAGTCCTGTAGATCATGTTCGCAAGGTTTTTCCGCTGCGCAAACACAGAGTTGAAAGTGAAAATAATCATTATCGATGGTATGGAGTCATTCGTTAGTATGATCAGTTGTGGAAGCTATCTATGCAAAGAGGTGCGCAAATCCTTCATCAAAGTGATTCTGAATGTAAAAGCCTTTTACAGTGGGATGCAAAGTGATCAAGAGTTTTGAACTGTCATCTTACCGGAAACTTAGGCCTGAGCTTACGGCATAGCCAGAAAAACAAGACAGGTCGTGCAAGCCAAGAAAAAATCCCGGTGTAACTTTTGTGGGGATTATTCAAGTTGATTTCACACACCAATATACTTAATCGGATCCGATAAATAAAAATAACCGTCCCAAAATAATCTTTGACTATTTCTGTTTGATGACTAAACTCTAACAACTATCGTCCAGTTCAAAGACAAATTAACCTGGAAAGCACAGTTTTCTCGGGGAGCTTTTAAGATTATGTGAGCAAGTCCATTAAGTGAGTTAGGTGATTTTATTGTGGGTGTTCTACTTTGTTTCTACTCGCAATTGTAGCTACAAGTCAACAGCTTTCATGCAGTATTTTCCTGTTTCGGCTTCGGATTCTTTTCAGAACTGAAGCAACAGTTGACCCGGAAGCGACTGAATGGAAGAAACCACGGACCAACTCCAAGTCTTTATTATGACATTCAATCAAAATTTAATGATTTGCATCTGTGATTGTTAGTAGAAAGTTTCTAAATCTATTTGAAACATATAGCTGACAATACGTGGAAATTGGCACTATGACTGACTTGATTTTATTAAAATACGTAATGAATTAATTACGGTGATGGTTTGACGTATCATTCGACAAACGGCCAAGTCTCCCTAGCAAACAGCATGCCAGCACTTGTTCAACATCCAGGTCAAAACTGGAGCCAACGGATTCGCGATTGACAGGACAGTGGATCGATGAGACGAAAAAGGATTTCCATCAAGTGCTGGCAGGCCGCATTATCCATCCCCCAATCAGGAGTGAGATTCACCAACGTAAGGTTGAATTAATTAGTTTGTATCGCAAAGGCTAATAACAGTGTATTTTTTGAATTATATAAACGGTGTGTCCTGAGCAGATATACCGAGATAATTCGAAACAAGAAACATCTCACTGGAGCTAATGTGAGTTAAAATAACAGAAATATCTTGTCAAACCTCACACAGAAGTTAAACGCGCTGCAATATCAAACAGTGGTAATACTTATGTGCCCAACGGAGGGTACATTATATTACATTCGGTTCATGATATTTAGATATAAAGTCTCTGACTTTTTCGTGCAGAACATGCATTCAATGTTTTTATTTGAGACTGACAGCTTGTATTCTTGGCACAGAGAGATTGTACCTTCGATATAGGGAAATCCGCTTGCACGTTTCGTGTAAATCGGCCACCTATTTACCGGGCTGATGGTCCACCAGTTAATTAAGACTTAGTCACGTATAAATCCAATCCTAACTTGTTCAGTCTCCCAAAATATTGAGCCTTTTTGAAGAACAGTTCGAAATTATCTTTCCGATATGGTGGACTGAGCTTGGAAGCAAAGTTTTGCCTTTGTTTGATGTAAGAAAGTATCATCGGAAGCGCTGAACTAACTAGCAGATCATGAAAATAAAGCCAGTTTTTCCGTGCAATTTAAATGAGCAGTTTTATCGTAAAATTCGGCGAACCACAAATTTACTGTGTCCCATGGATTACAAAGTTAGCTTGTATTTATCATGAGCTCACAGATTTAAAAATAATTGCTTCAAGCGGCAGGGAATATATCTTGAGATATCACCTTTACTCTAACAGCTGGTGATGTAACTGGTTCGGTGATCTGGACAGTGCGCGTTTTCTGATGGTTATCTAAGACTCCACATGTCTTTCAAGTGACTGTGTGTACACATAGCTGTGTTGCGCTAAGAATAGCTCTGCTGCTCGGGAATGCTTAGTTATATTTACTGAGGGACAACAAACAAAATTCTTCTGGACCACTTTTAGGGTGGGAAAGAAGGATGTACTATTGCAGAATGCCTAATGTACGGAAGCGAAGCTCATTTTCGCCAATATGTAACAAGTTTCGTGTGTGCTCCATTGTTTTTCATGCACGATGCCTGAAACTCATTGACAATTTTCACTAGTGTATTACAATCTTCTGCCTGAACCCCTGAGACGTTCGCTCCAATCGGTCGAAAAGGCATGATCATGTATTCCTTGTTTGCTTTGTTTACAGATGACCGTCTTTTTACTCCGACTATGGCGGCACATTCCAATAATTCGGTGATGAATATCGCCACGAAAACGCCCACGGTTTTCCAATATATCTAATCTAATTTTGAAATGAGAATTCTGAATTTGGATCGACTCACGACCCAACTAGTTGTGTGCGTCAGAAAGTGCTTACTCGGTTTTTGAGCCACAAGTGAGGAATCAGGGATTTATGAAGAATACCGCGAATGATATCCTTGATATTGGCTGACAGCTGCGAAATGTTTACCATATAAAATTATCTACAGAGACCCCGAAAAGTACACAGTAAAAAGTCGGTGACCCAGATACAAGAGAGCGAATGCCAATGCTTGCATAATTTATTTCGAAATAAAGGTTTCTTCTGGATATCTAACATAGGATCATTTTCAGAACCAGTAAGTTGAGGACTATGCCCCAGTAGGTTCTCACGTGCACAGCGCCACCTACAAATAAATAGGAAAAGAGCTGTGATGCACAAAACACAAAAGAACAAAGCTGAAAGAGAAAAGATGGATAATTCCATAAAGAACAGAAGACATGAGGGCTTCTGTGGGAATTGATGGCCTGGATCATGCAACAAGAATTATGGAAACAGTGTGCATAAGGTTACATTAATTATACGGGTACTTTTGAGCGAGTTGTTGTTATTGTTGATGATGATGATGATGATGAAACTTATAATTTCCTTGTGGTAATCGATGAGGAAATGTCCCGGTCTGATAGCTTCACAATTCGAGATTTTGAAGCACAATCAAAGCACAAGACGAAAAAAGACCACGCATGAAATGGAATAACTATATTCCAGCTAGTCACTAAATCGAATGACAGCGGAAACTATTATTCACCTACTTGCCGATTACGAAATTAGCCACAGATGAAGGATGAAAACAACAACGATCCAAGGGTTATGCAGTTGACTAATCAAGAATCGTTGGAAAGAAAATATTGGGTAGCAAAAATAGGAATAACATGTATTTTAAGTTGTATTGCAAAAAAGCATAACTGCATAACCCATTGATAGATAGCGCAAAATGATTCTGCTGTTGAGGAAACTGAAACATTAGGAGTGAAAATAGATTAGGATAACAGATCAAGACTCTGAATAACCTCAGCGGTATTATTCAGTTAAAAACCGCAAAAAGCAAAAATGGGAGTTCTTGCTGACTCAGCTATATGAAATTTGGAAAGATGAGAGTTACGAAAAAAGGGAAAAATACTATGAGGGCTCAAATCGTTGCTAAAGGAGAGAAATACGAAAAAAGAAGTGCATTTGGCATGAGAAAAGTACCCCGTGAAAGAAAAGGGAAAAGAAAGGCAGAAAAAAGATCAAGAAAGCGTTCTTCAACGCGTCGTCCAAATAAAAACAAAAATGTTGGATGTAGTTGGTGAACGTTACCAATACAAATCGATGCAGATCAGTGTGAACTGTGATTAACTAGATCTGAATTTGCTGTATCTCACACGACGCATATTATGATATCTCACCAGTAGTTTGTGTGGTAGACCCAGTTGTTGATGATCCTGAAATATGACGGGTGAGAATAGATTAGATGCGATAGTGAGTCGTTTGTATTCGGTCTGTTTTATTATTCGATGTTCAATTGTCACGAATTTTGTACACTGAACTGTGTGCTCGTGTCGGAAACATGCAGCACACGCCGCACAAAACAGTGAGCATAGATATGCATTGGGATATGTATTTCATCAGTGATCAATTGATCGTAAGAGATCAAGTGAATATGTGAGTGAACGAATGTTGACTCTCATTGTTGTTTTTTGTTGATCAATGTGAACTGTGAATAAACAGGGGTGTAATTGAGAGGTCTGTTCGTGGTGATTGGTGGGAATGATAATGATTTGGATGCTCAAGGAAACGAGGATGGTGATTTTCTTGAAGTGGAAGGATATAGTGGCTTCAGTGGAAAAATGTACTTTGAAATTTGTATTATAAAATTTGAGTATTGTGATTACTCACCGGTGCTTTCCGTTGTGGATTCAGATGTTGAACCATCTGAAATATGACGAGTGAGAGTGGGTTATGTACGATGGTGTGTGCTTCCTTTTCTGACTGTGGCGTAGTGCAAGAAATGCTACTGAACCTTCTCTATTTTTTCCGTTTTCTCTTATTAAGTCTGAACCGAAGCACTTTAGGGTGATCAAGTTTGGCACGTGATGCGTCCACCCATTACGAAGTGAAATATGTACACGGACGTTAGGAGCACCCACAAGAATTCAATTCATCTCTGAGAATGTGGCCGAGAAGATGGGAAATGCTACTCAAAACTAAAGAAGCAGCTGGTTATGAAATACAAAGTCTTCTATTGAAATCGAATGAGAAACGACATCTAGGCATGCTTTCTATTATATTCCGAGTGATTTCCAGTCCCGTGCTATCACATTTATCGATGATGGAGGAATTCAACCGGTGCAATGTTCTAAAGACCGTTTCATCCTCACAGACTCTGCTCGTTTTCAGACTCCAGACATTTCCGATGGTGTTCAAGTCTGGACCGTGGGTGGGTCAGAACGCGCATTTGATGTGCAGGTATAACACCCGGATTGGGGTAGGTTTGGACGTACGTGTAACCGCCTTGAGATATTACTGTACTCCGCTGATTTTCCGAAATCATTGTGGGCAAAATTCCATTCAGTGTGGTGGTGTAGAAGTTAGTCATCCGTTTCTCTTCTACAAAAGCGGGATAAGACTTCCACACCTCAAAAGTTACACTCAGACCGTTAGAGAGCCATCAGCAAAGGCTGGAAGACTGAGTTCCAGCTTGCTGCTCCTGAAGTCGTCCGAGGAGTGCGTGGTTCTATCGGGGCGATCTAAATTCAACCTTACTTCATTGCTAAATATCACATTATTCTCTCCGGCATTCCAAGTGATGTGATTTGTAGTCGTTTCTTCTAGAGTTTGTAAAGGACAATCAGTCATACAAGGCACTTGTCTCATCCTTCTTCACTGCAAATATGGTGCAGACTCTAGGAGTAACTGTACACTCCAAATGCTTACTTTCAGTCGCAGTAACCTTCGCAGCTTCGACACGCTCGTAAGTGGGTTCGAAGAACCGCGCAAGTGTATTCTCATGAACTGACTAGAGATTTTTTGTTGAATTCCCCGTTCACTCTAAATAACATAATAATATGTATTCTTCAGAGGTTTTGATCAACTATTGTCGATCTGAAAATTTTATCGGAAATCTGGCTTATGCTTATCCCAGAGTCAATTTGCGCAAATATATTTTCATTTTTCCAGCTCAAAAATCTTTGGACTTTGCGCCAACTCGCTATTTCGATAAATGCGAGATCTCTGTTTCTAATCGGAATGTTCAATTTGCGTAAACTTCGTTCTCGAATCACTTGTGAAGTGGATACTGACAAATAGCACATAGGTGAGTATGGGAAACGAGTCATCGCCGACCGAGATCGTTGATTTTTAAACCACTTTAGAATTCCTGCGTCTATTCCAGGATTGTGTTTATCAGCATTTCTGAACCCTTCGGGCACATTTTCTAGGATAAATAACAAAATCCTTGTGTATAATGGATATAGAGATGAGTTGACACATCAACAAAACGGATTTTCTCAATCCAAGAATTTTTGTCTTAATGGCATCATCAAAATCATAAATACAGAAATACAGACTGGGTTTAAGAACATTTTATTTGCATGAGTATTCAGTGCTGAATAACTTATTTTGTTGTGTGATAAAGCAAATCACATTGGTGTAACGAGCATACCGCACAGGCTGCTAGAAATAGAGAAAGCATCTTTCGACTTTGATAACTAGCTGTGCAATGATCAGTCAGTCGGACGACATGGAATGAAACTAATAAAGAATGCAAAGTGACACTCATCGATGCTGATCAGTGTGAACTGTGATTAACTAGATGTGTGATTGCGGATTCTGCTCGAGGGGACTGTTGGGCAAACTGAATAATTGGATGCATATGACTGTGGTGATGATGGTACAATCAGATAAGAATTTGATAGCATTTGGATTATTTCAATTGGATCTGAATTTGCTGTATCTCACACGACGTATATTATGATATCTCACCAGTAGTTTGTGTGGTAGACCCAGTTGTTGATGATCCTGAAATATGACGGGTGAGAATAGATTAGATGCGATAGTGAGTCGTTTGTATTCGGTCTGTTTTATTATTCGATGTTCAATTGTCACGAATTTTGTACACTGAACTGTGTGCTCGTGTCGGAAACATGCAGCACACGCCGCACAAAACAGTGAGCATAGATATGCATTGGGATATGTATTTCATCAGTGATCAATTGATCGTAAGAGATCAAGTGAATATGTGAGTGAACGAATGTTGACTCTCATTGTTGTTTTTTGTTGATCAATGTGAACTGTGAATAAACAGGGGTGTAATTGAGAGGTCTGTTCGTGGTGATTGGTGGGAATGATAATGATTTGGATGCTCAAGGAAACGAGGATGGTGATTTTCTTGAAGTGGAAGGATATAGTGGCTTCAGTGGAAAAATGTACTTTGAAATTTGTATTATAAAATTTGAGTATTGTGATTACTCACCGGTGCTTTCCGTTGTGGATTCAGATGTTGAACCATCTGAAATATGACGAGTGAGAGTGGGTTATGTACGATGGTGTGTGCTTCCTTTTCTGACTGTGGCGTAGTGCAAGAAATGCTACTGAACCTTCTCTATTTTTTCCGTTTTCTCTTATTAAGTCTGAACCGAAGCACTTTAGGGTGATCAAGTTTGGCACGTGATGCGTCCACCCATTACGAAGTGAAATATGTACACGGACGTTAGGAGCACCCACAAGAATTCAATTCATCTCTGAGAATGTGGCCGAGAAGATGGGAAATGCTACTCAAAACTAAAGAAGCAGCTGGTTATGAAATACAAAGTCTTCTATTGAAATCGAATGAGAAACGACATCTAGGCATGCTTTCTATTATATTCCGAGTGATTTCCAGTCCCGTGCTATCACATTTATCGATGATGGAGGAATTCAACCGGTGCAATGTTCTAAAGACCGTTTCATCCTCACAGACTCTGCTCGTTTTCAGACTCCAGACATTTCCGATGGTGTTCAAGTCTGGACCGTGGGTGGGTCAGAACGCGCATTTGATGTGCAGGTATAACACCCGGATTGGGGTAGGTTTGGACGTACGTGTAACCGCCTTGAGATATTACTGTACTCCGCTGATTTTCCGAAATCATTGTGGGCAAAATTCCATTCAGTGTGGTGGTGTAGAAGTTAGTCATCCGTTTCTCTTCTACAAAAGCGGGATAAGACTTCCACACCTCAAAAGTTACACTCAGACCGTTAGAGAGCCATCAGCAAAGGCTGGAAGACTGAGTTCCAGCTTGCTGCTCCTGAAGTCGTCCGAGGAGTGCGTGGTTCTATCGGGGCGATCTAAATTCAACCTTACTTCATTGCTAAATATCACATTATTCTCTCCGGCATTCCAAGTGATGTGATTTGTAGTCGTTTCTTCTAGAGTTTGTAAAGGACAATCAGTCATACAAGGCACTTGTCTCATCCTTCTTCACTGCAAATATGGTGCAGACTCTAGGAGTAACTGTACACTCCAAATGCTTACTTTCAGTCGCAGTAACCTTCGCAGCTTCGACACGCTCGTAAGTGGGTTCGAAGAACCGCGCAAGTGTATTCTCATGAACTGACTAGAGATTTTTTGTTGAATTCCCCGTTCACTCTAAATAACATAATAATATGTATTCTTCAGAGGTTTTGATCAACTATTGTCGATCTGAAAATTTTATCGGAAATCTGGCTTATGCTTATCCCAGAGTCAATTTGCGCAAATATATTTTCATTTTTCCAGCTCAAAAATCTTTGGACTTTGCGCCAACTCGCTATTTCGATAAATGCGAGATCTCTGTTTCTAATCGGAATGTTCAATTTGCGTAAACTTCGTTCTCGAATCACTTGTGAAGTGGATACTGACAAATAGCACATAGGTGAGTATGGGAAACGAGTCATCGCCGACCGAGATCGTTGATTTTTAAACCACTTTAGAATTCCTGCGTCTATTCCAGGATTGTGTTTATCAGCATTTCTGAACCCTTCGGGCACATTTTCTAGGATAAATAACAAAATCCTTGTGTATAATGGATATAGAGATGAGTTGACACATCAACAAAACGGATTTTCTCAATCCAAGAATTTTTGTCTTAATGGCATCATCAAAATCATAAATACAGAAATACAGACTGGGTTTAAGAACATTTTATTTGCATGAGTATTCAGTGCTGAATAACTTATTTTGTTGTGTGATAAAGCAAATCACATTGGTGTAACGAGCATACCGCACAGGCTGCTAGAAATAGAGAAAGCATCTTTCGACTTTGATAACTAGCTGTGCAATGATCAGTCAGTCGGACGACATGGAATGAAACTAATAAAGAATGCAAAGTGACACTCATCGATGCTGATCAGTGTGAACTGTGATTAACTAGATGTGTGATTGCGGATTCTGCTCGAGGGGACTGTTGGGCAAACTGAATAATTGGATGCATATGACTGTGGTGATGATGGTACAATCAGATAAGAATTTGATAGCATTTGGATTATTTCAATTGGATCTGAATTTGCTGTATCTCACACGACGTATATTATGATATCTCACCAGTAGTTTGTGTGGTAGACCCAGTTGTTGATGATCCTGAAATATGACGGGTGAGAATAGATTAGATGCGATAGTGAGTCGTTTGTATTCGGTCTGTTTTATTATTCGATGTTCAATTGTCACGAATTTTGTACACTGAACTGTGTGCTCGTGTCGGAAACATGCAGCACACGCCGCACAAAACAGTGAGCATAGATATGCATTGGGATATGTATTTCATCAGTGATCAATTGATCGTAAGAGATCAAGTGAATTTGTGAGTGAACGAATGTTGACTCTCATTGTTGTTTTTTGTTGATCAATGTGAACTGTGAATAAACAGGGGTGTAATTGAGAGGTCTGTTCGTGGTGATTGGTGGGAATGATAATGATTTGGATGCTCAAGGAAACGAGGATGGTAATTTTCTTTAAGTACAAGTAGATGGTAACAAATTCTTGTTTTTCTTTTTTCGGTATATAAGGCGCGTGTCATCATTACTCACTCGTTGTTTCTGTTGTGGATTTACCTTCTCCATCCCCTGAAATATGATTGGAAAGATCATTATTGTGCGGTGATAAGGGTTTAATTTTTTCTCTTTCATATTTTTCTTCTATGAGTCTTCATTTCTATCCAAAAGTTCATGTTCCTTCTATACATTCATTTTATTTACCTAATTTGGTTTTGCAGTTTTCATCCGGCAATTCATTTTGTTTTATCCTTTTTTCTGTAACTGAATGGTAGTTCTCTCTCCGTGTTTCCGGTGTGTGCTTCGTTGTATGAGATCTATCTGAATAGGCACATTATTTTGAGTTTTCTTTCGAATAAAACGTTGAAATTTCCGACGTTTTTTTTCTAATTTTGCAATGAAAATTTGGTGGGCTGACATTTTGTCGTCGACGTTTTGTCCTCGATTTCCTCCACAAAGCTTGTTTCATGGAATTATTTTTTCCCCTCAATTTTTAACACTAATTTTTGTCCTTTTTGTCATTAGTTTCTATTTCTTTTTGGCTGATTATCTCAGGTTTTCCCCATGGCGTACCATTTATTCAAAGTTACTGCTGAAATTTTTTGGGTTTCTCACCTCTTTCTTAAGGTGGTGGTATCGTATGATAATATTCTTTCAAGTAGACTACGATCTAAGAAAATAAAACTTGATCTGTGGGATCTCCATCGCTGATCTTGGCCAAAGCGGAACGTCAATATCGTTTCGATGTTATCATGTCACTTCAGTAATGGAATGTCATGGAAATATAAGGGATTCAAGAAACCAGGTGAGCAGCTGTGTTAAATTACATGGTAATTGTGTCTGAGGCTTTGGTAACGTAGGTCTCCAACCAAGTCTTGGAGAATATTATAATTATCTAAATGGTTGTTTCTGGAATATTTTCACAAAATCAAACTCTGGCCCCTCCTGCTGTTCCCTTAAGTTATTCTCGCGATATGTTTCTGCTGTCTTCACAATTTTCTAATTAAAAAATTCACTGCCACACAGCATGCGAGAGAGGCCACGTTCGAACTCAAAAAAATCCAATAATAGCTTTTGACGGTATTCTCTATTTTTTCCATCCATTCGTCGAGTTTGTCCGTTTCATCGCCCGATCATAATAAACTGTAATGCAGTGGTACGAAGAATAACCTGGTTGAGTATGTGTATACTAGCATAGCTCTGTTGATGATCATGCTGTTTGTTGTGTCTTTTGAGGCCACTGCCATCCGTGTACTCGCCTTTTTTCCAATTTACCTACTCTTGTGAAATTTGCCAAATCTTTCATACCGGTCTTCTGCTGATAAATTGGACTCGCGAATTACGTCTTGCTTGGCAATGACCAGAGTTTAGAGTGCTCGTCAGAGCCTGATGAGGCAGCTTATTGATCATGGGATACACAAGCTATGCCAACTAGTTTGTCAAGAGTAGGGTTTAATGGGTAATATACGTGGGGTGAGCTAATTAAGGAAATCCTTCCACATGGAGAAAGGTATTTGATGGATCTTGAAATGATTATGAAGTCTTTCGAAAGCAGATCTGGATTATTACCTAGAAAAAAGCAGGACCAGGGACGTGAGGTGGAAGCGGATATAATTATGCTAGTTAGGAGAATATGTGTGCAGAGGTACTTCCTCTGTGACACGTAGTTCTAAACATGCAACTTGTAGGAGAATATCAACGATGAAAGACCACGAATGACAGTAACTCCGATATATTCAGTGGGGCATTTTCTGGCAGTATGCTCTAAATTATTTGGCAGGTCCACGTTGGGTGTAAATAGATAAGGGTAATAAGCGCTGGTCATAACGTATTGCACTGCAGCCGTACAAAGAAGTACCTGGTTGAGTATTTGTATAGTAACATCGCTATGTCAGTGATTATGCTGTTTGTTGTGTCCTTTGAGGCTACTACCATCCGTGTACTAGTTCATTTTCCTATTTACGTGCTCTAGTGAAATTGGCCACATCTTTCATACCGGTCGGCTGCTGATAAAGAAGATACACGAATTCCGTCCTGCTTGACGGAAGAAAAGAAAACAGAATGCTAATCAGAGTCTTATAACGCAGCTTGTTCAGCATGGGTAGGTAGTGTATGTCAATTTGTGTGCCACTCGGACTTCTCTACCCAAGTCCAAGACCGGTTTTGAGTGTCATATTGAGCACAGCCGAATCAGTGGCCATAAGAAACTGTCATTCAGTCATATAGAAACAATTGTTCACCACGCACTACACAACTAGGATGATCGAAGCAATAAAATACCCAGAAAGTAGCTCAATATTTACCGAAATTATTCGGCTATGTAGACAGATATTTGGCGTGTATCTCGTACCGATGAGTACTTCCATTCTGCCTTGCCCCATTTTAAACTGATTCCTTCAATCACTCATTTCCTCCATAATAATGAAGAGTTTTTGTAATAAATCAGTCTGGAGAATTCTACTGTTTAAGTATTTGTTCACTGAGCGACGATATAACTAATGGAGTTAGTGTGTAGTTTGATGAACAATCAAATTACCTTGGTTTATTTACTATAACACATTATTTCCTACGGTTTGTTACTCTCATGAAAACTAAATCCAGTAACTGTTTTATAGACCCGAAGATCCACATTTGGACACTATATATCCACTCCAATAAGAGAATAGTGAGATGCAGTTAGAAGTACGAATGAATGAACGTTTCAGCTCACACCATTTAGCACTTGAGTGTTCTAGTTGCCTAGGAATCTGGAGAGGCAGGAAATTGTAGGTTCGTAAGTTTACGAACGGAGAACGGGATGTTTGTTCAGCACGGAGCAGTAAAGGACGCTAAGGTTCGGATATCGTAAATTGGGAGAAAATTTGAAACTAGACTGGGGGCTTGAGGGGTACGTTTTGAGTGAGCTAGCTGTGAGAAATCCTACATCATCTTATGCTGTACACTCACTCATCATCCTATTTTACGGTGATGAAAATAATCGTTTCTGATTCAGGTTTTATTACTTAAAATGCTACGTACTTCATCCATCTCTACTGACTCATAATCACTCACCTTCGGCCACGCAAAGCCATATGAGCAGCAAGATTGTTCCCCAAAGTAAGAGAGTTTTCATGGTGTATTCGATTACTTAACCTGATCTATATCTTTCGAAAACACCATCATTTATATACTTCATGAATAATCAGACTCAGCAATGTTCAGCTGATCTTCATCCACGGAATTCAACTGCCTATTGGTTTGTTGCATTTTCACGTGTTTTTAATTTACATTCCGTTTCGCCTACTGGATAACAGTAAAGCGCGAGAGTTTCCACTATGAATGACTGTGTCTGGTTATTGCATGTGCACCTTGTCCTGTGAGTCCCATTACTATTTTAAGCAACAGCCGTTTCAATTAGAGTATTATTGTGATAGATGCTTTTTACGATTCACTGCAAATATATCAGATTACAGCAAGCGGATTTGCTTAGAACAGTATCATCACGTGAAATGCCTAATAATCACTTTGATTAGGAAAGCTGTTAGAGCTTTGACAAGTACCCTCACAATGTGAGTCTAACTCCAGTTCGAAGTTTGTGTACCGTGTTCACCCACTGGAAACTAAACAATAAATACAACTTAACCCAGTTTTTCAGCCAAACCGTGTTCCACTTATGAAATTTCTAGTTCCACTAGTGGCTTAGTTGAATTGCAATGGGAGGTAAAAAGTTCATATTTAATTCTTTTTTTTCTTAGATTTATTTGTGGAACCATAGAATTTCGAGCATCACTATCAACGAGGGTTTCAAGAAAAACACCAGACCTCTTTGTAACTTTGGTTTACGACCTTCAAGTCTGGAATCTTGGGTAACTGATAATCCTTTTAATTAAATGTCTATCTACGTTGTAATACACCCCACAAAGTCATGGTACATAAGTGAGAACGGATATTTGCGGCCGGCATACAGTCCATCGGAAGCGTGAGTTTAGATTCAGCCCTCATTGTTGACTTTCCCCATGTTTTTAACCCATTGTTGCTTTCGTCGCCCATAACTGAGTCTGTTCTCATATTTTACACGATCTTATGCACAGAAGTTGCTGTTTATTTACACTAAAGTGACCGTGTTCCCCATTTTCCCAGTCCAGTATTTGTGCTACGCCCGTTTACCGTGGACGATAGTCTAACAGCTGACCCGGTCTACCTGGATGACACCGCGATCGATCACCTTTGAATACTTGGTTTCCATATGGGGCTATTTGTGTTATATTCCGTACCAAAGAGAATTTGACTACATCCTCTATTGGATTCACTTTGTTTCTGTAGGTAACTCAGCTAGTTTAATGTGGAAGCTGCGCGCAGCAATGCCATATATTCTACAAATGTTTAAACCTCAACATTCACTATGTATCTCAATTCCGATCTATGAAAGCCCCATTCGGTAATCGAATTGATAATAATTATTTAGGAAAACTGAATACAATGCTCCACCGAAAGTGGTCTGATTGTACTTTGAACTCGCCTAAGTGAACCAAATTTGCAAAAATACACCACGTTTTTTCCTATTTGCTTTTGACAATGATGAATTGAATGATGTGATCTGTATCGCAACTCTGGTTGAAGTGTCATGATATATATTGAATGCGCGTTTGGTATTTTGCTAACCTTAGTCATCTATTACATTGACATGACATCCGTTCCTTTATCGGGTCCCGAGAAAATGTTATGCCAGTTCTCCCTCAAGCTTCTGAAGATTATTCACCGGAGAAGGAACTTTAAAAAATTCATTTTTGACCTCTGAAAAAACGATATCTCTGTAATAATACTCACTTCAGGAATGAAACTGCACTTCAGCAGTTTTTACACGCACGAAACAAATTGTTCGACAGTAAACTAATGATCACCAGGCTAAGTTGGTTGAGAAGTACTGTACATGTCCTCGGACAGCCGTACTCGGCAGGAAATTTCAACCGAATCTGGTGTTGATTGAATGATAAACAAGAATAGCCAGTTTATAGTGTGAAAAATGGTATGAAAAGATTATCCGTCGAGCATTATTTGATGTTAGTTGGATTTGGTTCTCAAAGTGAGCATGACTCGCCCCAAGGTCATAAGAGGCAGTTTACCGAGATTATATATAGATACCAATTTTTAATATGCACATATTTATGTATATAATGCTATGTACATATAACCTGAACTATGTTTACACCTCCAGCTGAGAACAATAAAGTGTTGTATGTGATGAACTGTACTTCCTTGTAAATTTAGTCATTGTTCGGCTATCTAGCAGCTTTAACAACCATTCGCTACTGGTGAAAATTAACAAGTGAGCTGGTTTGATAACACTGATGTGAGGAGATGCATGACACATATTCTAGAATGTGCTCACGCCAAATGTATTTATTCCCTTCAGAACTGTTGGACTGGTTATATTATATGCATGATAAAATGTTTTGCCGTGGGCAATTAAAATAGGGGTTCGGTAGGACTGTGTCAATACTCTTCTTGTACACCTCCGCTTGTTCTATTCATCCGACATTCAGAGTGCGTAAGTACTGAAATAGAGGAGCACATTGGAGCTGGGAAAACAGAAAGGTGATAGAATTTTGCTCAGTTATTTAGATGGCAGAAGTCTCAAACACCACTCAGTTTTTTCTTCAATGTCCATTATGATGTGCAATAATGCGAATGGAAGCGAAAAGGAGAGTTTCTTCCCAATGTGAACTTGGAAACAAACAGCTCGCGTTTGCAAGGCCATTTGGGTTATTGTGATGGGGAATAATCAATGTTAGTTTAATGTGATTACGAATGACTAGAAGAATACTGGTAGTGAGTGACAGAGATCACAAGACCCAACTTGCGTTCTCATTGTCAAAGTCAGGTGATATTTGCCGTTTGTATGAAGTGGGATTTACCAATGAATATTACTTGACTTGTAGCCAGGTTGTTTTTTAATCCATACTGGCGGAGAAAAGTCCAATTGATTATACCGGGATGTCGTCCTATTTGTTCAGTGATTCGAAAAACAAAGCGGGATTATCAAATTGGGAAACGTAAAAACGTATACTAAGAAATAATCAGACAAGGATAACGGAGTACACACATCACGCTGTGGACTGCTGGCTAATGGTGTATAGATATTCAGTTGTACTTGTTAACTGGGGGACATTTGATCACTCAGGTCATTTACATGTCAAATTTAGGGCTCAATGTTGGCTTGAGAAAGTGACAAGTTGCGACCGACCACCATCACTGTGTAAAGTCGGGCGATGGGGCGAAGGGAAACGAACACTCAAGTTGTTGGGAGTTGAGTGAGGGAAACAGGATTGTTGGTGTGATTGAGGTAAACCAGTGTTCCAAGATTCACATGGAGTTTTGATTCAAACATAAATTACATTGATCGTGACGTCCATCACGCTGGCGTGGAAACCAGTAGGTGAATACACAACTGATGCATTTCGAGTGGGACGGGTAAGTCAGATAACACTAGGATGCACATGGGGACCAGAGGGATACACGCTAAATCCACGTGGGCTATGCCTTTGTGTTATAGGTGGGAGCTTGGTTTCAGGAAGTAAACTGAATTCGATGGTTTTTGGTACGAGTAAAATTTACTTGTGGGATACAAACAGCGTAACAAATCCTAGCTTCGACAGACGAACCTAGGAAGAATTCACTAGTGACTGGTTCAATCTGGAAACAAATTCCTTAGAGATTTTGGTTTATGGTTTCCGAATACGCCAGTATATCTTCCCTCAAATTCGAATACGTCACTATTTGTTGGGCTCCTTTTTGTAACTCGATCCTATGATGTGAACAGTACTTTACAGCCCCAATGTTCTGGAATATTACGACGGTATTTATGTAAGTTCCAATGAGTACAAGTAGGTTGCTCCGCAATGAATTCTAACTAGAAGTTGCTCGCGTACAAAAAGGCTCCATGACTCTGCTATGTCCGAGACAAAAGTCGTGAGAAACCCGTTCGTTTTACCTCCAACAATAGTAACGGGGAATTCTTGGGCAAGGCAGCGACGTGGAGATCAAGGCGAACGGACGAACCAACCGAGGGCCACAGACAAAAGAACAGACGACGAACATGTCGGAGGCTTTTCTAAGCAGACAAAAGGAGGCATACGGACTAGCGGATGGGAAGAAGCGGAATCTCCGGCAGCCGGCAAGATAGCCCAGGTGAGGGGCTTCGAATCAAGCCATCAACTGAGACAGTCGGGCCAACCGAATAGAAATGATGCCCAAGGGAAGCAAGCTATCGGCCACAGGGAATTCGGCAGAACGTATTTGAAGCACTGAAGCCGCCGCAGGAGCAATATTGGTACCGCGCAGCCTGAAAAAGGACTTATATAAATGATTATATTTGTTTATTGACTTGAACTGTTAGGCCGTTGAAGTACAAGTATCCTATACTGTGTTGTAGTCCTTGTTACACCATGTTATAATATGCCTTGGCGCAGCCCAAGATGGTAGACCAGAGTTTTGGCAGACAGTTTACTTGAAGTGGGAAAGTTAAGGCATGCTATTACGCAATCGATTTTATCATACAACTTTCACAATCACACTTCTCAATATAGTGATAATTTTTACGAAATAGGAATACCAGTAAAATGAGTGAAGATGCAAGCATCTGTGGAAAAAGGTGGATAGTTCAGTCAGTAGAAGCATATTAAAGCGACAAAATTTAGATTGTTTGTCTTTTCAGTCCTTACTCGATGACACGGGTTTCGCTAACAACAGCAGTGGATCAGTCTGTCTGCTAACGGCGAACTTCTAAACCTGGTCTAGATTTAATTGAACTTGGTTCTATGATTCCCTAAGAACTCCATCAAACTAAGTGGTAAGATGTTATCGAACAAGCCATCTTTCACGAGAATCAGTGAAATATAACATGTAAATTCATGAGTTGCATTTTTGCAATCTTATCCGGGAAAAACGTTCGATTTTTCAAAAATATATGTACCCACAAACCTTTGAATGGTTCATCAACATCGATAAACTTACCATACGAGTAATGAATAGCCGTGATCCCGTTTGGCTTAAAATACTTGGATTACCTTCATCTGCAGTTCAAACAGAAATTACATGTAAAACATTGGTCTAGGTTGACTTGGTGCAACTGGCTGTGTGGTGTAAATCATCAGATTTACTCGCGTCTGAGTAACGATTCATTTATCTCGAATTTAAAGATTTTTTCTATTCGAACGACCCAAACAATGATTTGTGTTCCCAGTTTGAGGAATTTCGTTCACTTTGGACATTGTTACCATTTACCAGAACATCACTTACTGAAAACCGCCTTGTACGACCGGTCAGCTATTTTTAGCTAATATCCAGATGCCGTCTCACATGCTAATCTCATCACCCATTAACAATCATTAGGTGCTGTGTCGTAAACATACGAATTCGTGGCTTAACTGCACCGCATCAGAAACGCTAATAAATATAGAAATTCACAGGTGAAATGTAGCTCATGATTCATTTATGTTATTAATAATGATCTGGTAAAGACTATTTGTGTGCTCATTTTGAAAGCTAAATAAACGAAGCATGGGAAACTCACGAGAATTAAAAAAAACCGACTTATGATAACCGATAGAAAAGACCTCCTTATTATCAATTTCCGGCAACAGAACAAAACTTCGTTACGAAAAACCATAAGTTGATCGCAGTAGTGATGAGTTAATGGATTTGCACTGATTATGAATCAGACGTAAAATGGAAATTTGAGAATACACAATGTGCTCAGATTACGAGTGCGTGGGTTTAGGAAGAAGATGTGTCAACTGATCTTGAGACGTTAGTAAACTAAAGTAAATAAGTATTATCAGAATAACAATGATAACAATACTGTCGAAGGATTCGGAGTTTACAAATTTATCTGGCGGTTCGATCTAATCTTCAGGTCAAATTCAAGTAGAATAAAAAAAATAGTGATACACGGATGCCACTACATGTTTGGCAACATTAGGTGACTTGGCTAGGAGTCGGAGCCAGTGGCATAGTTGCATCCGGAATCTTTCCCTGTCCTCGTGATTTCTGCTCATTGCTTCGACATTTTGTATTTTTATCATCTTATGCTTCCATTCTAGCGTTCTTTACTCGACGGTGCTAGGAGGTAGCAACCGTGACCAGAGCCCAGATGTGTCAGGTTAGTGGTTGCATGAACTAAACTAAACCATTTGTAGTATAACAGGCTTCAATTTGCTGCTTATCGAATTGAGTGTAATTCATCCACTAAGCAGCTTCTCGGAGCACATTGTATGAAACACCCGTTGGACTGACAAACAACTGGTAACGTTCAAAGGGAGACGTCTGCACATGTCGAAACGGAGAAATGGTGTGTGGTTCAAGGCTCTCTGGGCTGGAACAAAGAAAAATGCTACCGAACAAATAAACAAAGACGAGTATGCACCATATTTCGAAGAACATTTTCAGATCTACAACAGTCATTTGCATCATTTTGTTCACTAGATGGCAAAGAGAAAAACTGCCATTTGAGGGGAAATCTGCAAGAAAGGTGTGAGGAGATTCTCGCTTCGGATAAACCGAGGTTGTTGGAAGGATATTTAGGCATTTAGCACGGCAAATAACTCTGAGGGGATGCGCCAGTTCTGCAGTGCAGAAATATATGATCAACGTCTCAGATGAATGATCGAGTTATTTAGAATGGAGAAGAATGCGCCGGAAATTTCATAACTTGGAATATTAATTTGAACAATGTGATATTGGGTGGTGGAAAGTAGTTTGTTTTCGACGTCGATCATGTTGTTATACACCCCTGGCATACATTCAGTGATGGCAAACCTAACTTCAATGGTCGAACCTTTGTTGATAACTCTGTGATGCCCTGAAGAAAGATGACTGAAGAAAGAAAACCCCAACTAGCAGTCATTAGAGGTAAGGAGATGAGGGGCTCAAATATGAGAACAATTCATTATTTGCCCCTCAAGAAGATTTTGCAAACGTAATGAGGGACGGGAATGCCCAGCACTGCAAAGCAAATCCAAATATGATAAAGATCCTCAGAATATGGTACCATGGACCATTTTGATCATAGTGCAGATCAGTGCCGTGTGGAATGTGTCAGATATCTGTTAGGAAGAGGTCCGTTGGAACGGAAAATTCTTTGACAACTTGCATTGTTTGACGCTCATCATTCTCGATGAATGGATAATGTAATCCATAAGGTCATTCATAAACAATAACTTACTTCCCATAGCAACAGCATGAGCCTAGTCAGTTTTCTTCATGGAGCCCAACTGTACTTAGGTTTGACCTGTCAAAATACTTTGGTAATGATTTCCATTCAAAATATTTCCATTGCTGCGGTCGACATAGCTAACAGACAGCCACCGGGCACCTCCGGGAAGGCCAGTTCTGAGTTCCAAAAGAAACGCTGCGCAGGTGTACATCGATTTCAATACAACCTCTTTGTGTCTTCACTATCAACTGAACTTTGGAAACTCTCATCCTATCTTACGTCGTTCATCAGCGCCCAGTCTGTGCCTAAACCACTCTATTCAGGAGAACATAGATGATCCTGGGGAACAAAGTTCAGCCTAGCTCGCTGGTCTGCTCAAATGAAAAACGAGAATATCACTTGGCACCCGATGAAATCTAAATTCACTCCTGGTTCACAAATCCACCTAACGAAGGTCCACTTCTTCCGTTTGCGCGTGATAACTTAACTCTGACTGAGCTATGAGTTTGCAGTACCAAATTTCTGTACGAGAAGGAAGTAAATTCAGCGTCTGGGCGTGTTTATGTTGAAGGTGAGATACTTAGAATGCTCGATATTCATCGCTCGTTCACAGTTTCCTTATCTGGGCACACGGTGCAGAACATGCTAAATTCCAGAGCTCAAGTGAAATGGCAGTATTTCTAGAATCCCGTTGCTGATCAAGAATCGTGATGTTTCGGTGGTGGAGAACCAACTTGAATATTTCAAATCTCGACGGGGTGCCAGGATAAGTATGTTTATCTTTGTTCTGTTTGTCAGCAGAATTGTGTGAGCAAACAGGTACAGTTTGCGTCACAGGTCTTCTCATTCAATCATTCTCATCGTTTACTCATCTGACAATTAGGCTCTCAATACCACTAGTCTTCTTGTGAGAAAAGGGAAGGTTTAAAATTCGAAGAAGACCCACACTCAGTACGTTGAAAAAGATGATACTATTTTCAGCTAAGAACAAAAATTTGATTAGTTCCCAGATATACTACCCATGATTACTCATCAATAAAGTAAAAATCGGACTGAATATCTGACTCGTATTATTCATTTTACAAATGAGGCACAAGTATCCGGGATTATTATAGAATACGTTGAAAAATGTGTCCAAGGAGATTATATTTTACCGTCTTAACCACTAAGAACCTTGGAAGGAAATTCACTTTATAAATTTGGGATTAGTAATGCAGCTAAATTCTTCTATGGTGATATTTAGGAACTCCACAGCCCAAAATCTAACAATCTGTGGGTGCATTTTTATCGGAATGTCGGGCAAGAAGCGTTGGTTAACATTTTTCATTACTGGCTATCATTAATGTAGTCACACGTCGATATCAACAGAATGCTTGTCATTTCTTCTTAGGAAACGGTCGGCGTGATTTTGTCCCTTGATTTTGCAACATTGACCCTCAAAGTTGAGAGCTTCTGGGTTTTCAGTTGGGCAAAACATGCAGCAAAACACAAAGACAGGGTAGAGTTGAGTTTTCTTTAAAATCCATGTAGCTACTGCTCAAAATATGAACTTGTGGGATTGGAAACACCTCATAAACATTGTAAGCCCTTCTTTATTGCACCTCGCATTAACAGTGCACAAAATACTGAGAAACCAGATTGATCAGTTAAGCTCGATTTTAGTAGGTTTCCTATGGCGTTCAAATCCTCGTTACAACATAAGGTTTCGTTTCCATAGCACAACATTTGCCGATGCTGAAACTTCAAGTTTACGAAAACACTGCCTTTCGAGTTTTCTGTAATATTGCGAAATATGAAGAAGTCACGTGTCCATTGTGTTGAAATCATAAAAGGTACTCAAAATTGGACAGATGTTTATTATTTTCAGATTCACTGCACTATATTTGGCAGTTACTAAAGAAGGAATAGATACATAACCGAATGACTCACAGATTTATGTTTTCTACGGATTGAAGTAAACTGAGTATACATTAGCCGTGAATATAGGGCAAGTCTTGTGACTGCCATGAAATAGATTATCGAAGTATGAATTACCAGATTTGTCAAGAAGAAACATATTTTACCTTTTCAAGCATGAGGCAACATGGGATAGAATTTAAGTTTCCAAATTTGGGATTAGTCATACCAAATCAAGTTTGAGTTACTCACCCAAAGGGGCATTTTTAGCTGATACACTGACCTGAAACATTTTGAATAAAAGAATCCAGTAATCAAATGTACGTTTACCGGCGTGAGTTAGGAAAATCCGTGGTAGTGAAATACGGATTGTTGAGGAAAAGAAAGATGTAAGGAGATACGGAGGATTTGTGAGCTCTGGCTAGAGCAAACGGGTGTTTTTACAGCGGTCTATATAAACACTCAATCCCAATAGACTGATCATCTGCTGCCCTGGCTGTACTGGTTGCTGTTTCGCAACAGCAATCTAACTAAGAAATAAAAGTTATCAACCGTATGGCAAAGTGGGAAAGAAAAGTAAAAAAAATGGTGGAAATATGATGATGGAGTTGTGTGGATCCAACTGTCCCACTTGTCATCATATGAAGCCGTATCTTCCTGCCTGCCTATGATCACTGGTTGCAAGGATGTCGTGGACACTCGACACAAGCAAAACAGTGGAATGTAAAGGTCCGGCTCAATGTAATACATCCATCTAATAGATGTTCAACTCAGCGCCACTCACTCTAACAGGTTTCATGTAGCTTTTGATAGGTGCAAGATGTGATGGGGCTGACATTTGCAGATTATCAACAACTCATAGCTTTCTGGCACTAATTTCATAAAAGCCGTTAAACAGGTGCGATAACTATGGTGCGTAGTGCTGGAAGAATGCACCGTAACTGCAATTGTCGAGTGTACAATCATCTGTCCTTATTTCAAACTTGAACATATTTCTTGTTGTCCGGTAGTTGGTGGAGTCTCCGTCAGTTGCGTTTAGGTATTAATTCAAGTACCTTAGGAGAATTTTGGATATTTTTGTAAATTCCATTGCATTCAGCTCCATTGTAGAAAACTTAGTTGAATGGCAACAAAACTATGGTGATATCATGCAGTTCTATTGAACCGTGTAGTAGCATAGATTTCTCGTTGACAACATCAATCTGAATTCCATTAATTTCGACCATATTGTGAAATAGGTTTGCCGAACAATCTGCAGCTCACACTTATTCATCCCAGTATAACCACGGCAGTTATTAGTTTTCATATCTATAAGCCGTACAAGGGCGCCACTCAATCAGCCAGCAGAGAAACTGCTTGAGCAATGGAATTACGGGAAAACACGATCGGTTGATGAGCTCTGACCATCAAATATATTGGCATCATCACTAAAATAATCATCTGGTTCATCAGTACTTGTTTAGGGACCTGTAGCTACGACTAAGCAGTCAACACAGGCTCCAGTTGTGTTTATCGTGATTCCTTCTGAGGTTGGCATTCAATTATCGTCCTCCAATCATAACCACTCTCAATCCCCAAGGGTGCCAGATACCAATGGTACTCACTTGTGTTTCGACCTCTTCCGCAATGATCACTTTATCTTTTCAGTCCACATCAGTACTCACAAACGATGAATCTCCCAAGAGACTTCTCCTATATTCACCGTGCACAGAGTACCCTTAGCGGTACAGTCGCCTCCACGGTGCTTGCACACCTTCACGTTTAATCACCAAAATGATTTTCTAGGAAGTTTATTTTATCAATATGGTCAAAATTAATAAAATATAGATCATCCACTGACTTCCGAATAAAATTGCAAATTTTCATTTTCCTTTTCAAGAAAATCGGGCATATTTCCCGTAATTCGTATCGAGGAATTCATTTTTGAATCATAATTACGTATTACTCCTCAGATAATTGAGGTTCTATGCACTTATTGCACACTGATTTAGCTCACTGCCGGTCTCACCAGAAAACACTTGCGAGAATTAACCCCTTCCATGCACGGCTGACATATTGATGAACAAAGAAATAGTAGCAGTCCTGTTTTAGACTCATAGTGGTTCATGTGATTCACAAAAAATGTGTTCTAGTTTCATGTTTTCTATGAGTTCCGAATTTACTGACTGAAATGCAAACATGGGCTTGTGCTCTATGATTCTTCGTTGCATGTCAAATCGAGGATTTTTCGCCCATACGTGGAAGAAACGAGGTTAAAATGAGTGACCTGAATCTTTCCGGCTATTTGAAAATACAGTCTCACCTAGGTATATTTTTGCGCCGCGCGTTAGGAAATCGGATATACTGTAAACTTGGAAAGAGCACAGATACATTCAAGACATTCTGTTGATTTAATTGGGAGACTAATCTGAATGAAAGATTGTTCAAAATTTTCTACATCTGACAGATCGATTGGCACGGAACGAGATAAATAATGCACTTTAAAATACCGAGATTGAAGTTGGCGAATATGGTAGTGGATAATTTCCACGAAGAGCAAACGGCAACTTGGAGCACAGGGAAATAAATGAACATGTTTAGAAGAATTTTCACTCAATTTTGTGCACTGTATCCACCAAATGGAGTAACTGGGTATTCAGTCATTCGTTCATTGTAAGCACCCGAAAAGTTTTCATTCGTGAACGAGTCGCAACCGAGGTACAGAATCAAACGCCAAAGAGTAATGTAGAAAAGCGCACCTGACTGACCTCGCTCAGTCACATTCTGTCTAGTAGGTGCTGAGGCTATTGGGATGGAACGTTTATTGGTAACCGTGGAGTTGGTGGTCTTCGGGATGTGAACAGTCGTTACATGGATAGTACAGTTGCTAGCATGTTGGTTCACAATATACGTCACCCCTTTGGCTGATGAACGGACTCCATAGATGATACCAGTAGGACGAGGATTATCCAGATCTGAGGCGGAGTGCGCTTTGTTGGTGGTGTGATCTTTGAAAAGAAGCCTAATTTGAATAATTTCACAGTAGTGATATGGGATGCATGTCAGTAGTTGAGTTAATACATACACCGTTTACTTTGTGAACAACATTAAGGAAGTTTGAGCGTTTGATTATTTACCCACTGGAATTCGTGATCGCTTTCTACAATTTTGTGATACCTGTGTGATTATCGGAAGTTGATCGACAATTAACGTATTTAGGATTTTAGCATCGGTCTTGATCAAATCTGAATAAATTGTGACATTGATGATATCATGGAACTCGAGGTGATTAGAAGCACGACAACAGAACCACAATACTCAGGATTATTGCTGGAGAATCACGGGGCTAAATCACATCGACCATTTCCTCAGGCCCCAACCTGTTGTGAAATGCTTCTGGGAAGAAATGACGAGCATTCTGTTAATATCGACGTGTGACTACATTAATGATAGCTAGTAATGGAAAATGTTAACCAGCGCTTCTTGCCTGACAATCAGGTAAAAATGCACCCACAGATTGTTAGGTTTTGGGCTGTGGACTTCCTAAATATCACCATAGGTGAATTTACCTGCGTAACTAATCCCAAATTTATAAACTGAATTTCCTTCCAAGGTTCTTAGTGGTTAAGACGGTAAAATATAATCTCCTTGGACACATTTTTCAACGTATTCTATAATAATCCCGGATACTTGTGCCTCATTTGTAAAATGAATAATACGAGTCAGATATTCAGTCCGATTTTTACTTTATTGATGAGTAATCATGGGTAGTATATCTGGGAACTAATCAAATTTTTGTTCTTAGCTGAAAATAGTATTATGATGATGATGATGGTTCCAATGACGAAGAGGTTGTTGATGATGATGAAGATCAAGATGATGATTACGATTCGGATAAAGATGGTGAAGATGATAATGATGGTGATGATGATTGTGATGATAATTATTTAGGTGATAGTGATTCGGATGATGATTGTGATTGGGATTATGATGGTGATTTTATTGACTCGGATGATGTTGTTCACTCGGATGAAGATGATGAAGATTATGTCATTCCGATGGCGATAATTTTTATGGCGATGATGTTGATGATGATGATTCGGATGATGATAAGATTGATGATTACGATGATTCGGATGATAATTTGGATGAATATGACTTTGATGACAATGATTTGGTTGATGATGATGATGAAGATTCGGATGAGGCTTCAGATGATAACGATGATTTGGATGATGATGTTTATGATGTTGATGATGATGATCATGAAGATGATGATGATGGTGATGATGACGATGATGATGATAATGATGATGATGTTGAAGATGATAATGGTGGTGATTAAGATTCCGAGGAAAATAATTTACCTGATAGCGATTCGGATGATGATTGTGAACCGGATGATGATGGTGATGTTGATGAATCGGCTGAGGTTGATGATGATGATGATGATGATGATGATGATGATGATGATGATGATGATGATGATGATGATGATGATGACGATGGTGATGATGATGATGATGATGATGATGATGATGATGATGTAGATGATGATGAAGATGATGATGATGATGCTGATGATGTTGATGATGATGATGATGATGATGATGATGATGATGATGATGATGATGATGATGATGATGATGATGATGATGATGATGATGATGATGATGATGATGATGATGATGATGATGATGATGATGATGATGATGATGATGATGATGATGATGATGATGATGATGATGATGACGATGGTGATGATGATGATGATGATGATGATGATGATGATGATGATGTAGATGATGATGAAGATGATGATGATGATGCTGATGATGTTGATGATGATGATGATGATGATGATGATGATGATGATGATGATGATGATGATGATGATGATGATGATGATGATGATGATGATGATGATGATGATGATGATGATGATGATGATGATGATGATGATGATGATGATGATGATGATGATGATGATGATGATGTAGATGATGATGAAGATGATGATGATGATGCTGATGATGTTGATGATGATGATGATGATGATGATGATGATGATGATGATGATGATGATGATGATGATGATGATGATGATGATGATGATGATGATGATGATGATGATGATGATGATGATGATGATGATGATGATGATGATGATGATGATGATGATGATGATGATGATGATGATGTAGATGATGATGAAGATGATGATGATGATGCTGATGATGTTGATGATGATGATGATGATGATGATGATGATGATGATGATGATGATGATGATGATGATGATGATGATGATGATGATGATGATGATGATGATGATGATGATGATGATGATGATGATGATGATGATGATGATGATGATGATGATGATGATGATGATGATGATGATGATGATGATGATGATTGTGTTTTACGTGATTCGGATAATGATCATGTTTGTGATGATGATTTAGACGACAGTGATTAGGATGATGATATTTCTGATGATGATGTTTATCACTATGACGATTTGTTGGATTATTCGGATTATCATTGTGCTATGGATGTTGTTCATTATTTGCAAGTACATTTTTGTTGGATATGATTGTGCCCATTTGGTTGCAATCTGATCTTCATATATGTCACCTGAATTAAGGAAATATTCGGTTAAATACCGTTTTGTTCGACAGCGTTGTTACCGAACAACCAACACTCATCCATAGCATTACATGGAGCATCGCATATTGTATACACTCCAACTTGATATCACTTCTGATGAACCATTTCATGACATTACTTCATGTGATAATAACCATTAAGATGTGACTGCACCTTGCCGTGGTGTGATGGCATGCTAGCCTCCATGACCGAAGAAGCAATGCAGTATAGCTTCCTTAGCCCGGAAATGTAACCGTACCTCGGAGGTCAGTGGGTAAAAAACCGGACTAAGTCCAGTCTCTGAACCAGTTGATGGGCAACATCGGGTTGTAACAACTATGCCCGTCTACCTTCCGCTTGCTCCATTGGATGCTTGGGGCTAAGGACTGAATCCGAAGAGTGGTTCGATAACAAAGCACCAGAGAAGACAAGACAGATGCATGCAACAATCAGGTCTCGCGTGACAGACCAGAAGAATTCTCTTCACGGGTTGTTTGGTCACATTCCCATGTTAGATTAAAGCCCCACTGCCTTGTGGATCAGTTGTTTGAATCAAAGGCGCCAGTTAG